TGCTGCTGCTTGGTACTGTACCTGCTGCTGCTGCTGCTGCTGCTGCTGCTTGGTACTGTACCTGCTGCTGCTGCTGCTGCTTGGTACTGTACCTGCTGCTTCTGCTTGGTACTGTACCTGCTGCTTCTGCTTGGTACTGTGCCTGCTGCTGCTGCTGCTGCTGCTGGCTGCTGCTGCTGGCTGCTGGCTGCTGGCTGCTGGCTGCTGGCTGCTGGCTGCTGGCTGCTGCTGCTGCTGGCTGCTTGCTGCTTGGTAGCTGCTGCTGCTGCTGCTTGGTCGCTGCTGCTTCTGCTGCTGCTGCTTGGTAGCTGCTGCTGCTGCTGCTGCTGCTGCTTGGTAGCTGCTGCTTCTGCTGCTGCTGCTGCTGCTTGGTAGCTGCTCCTGCTGCTGCTGCTGCTTGGTAGCTGCTCCTGCTGCTGCTGCTGCTTCTGCTTGGTACTGTACCTGCTGCTGCTGCCGGGTACCTGCTGCCTGCTGCAGGTGCCGCTCCTGCTGCTGCTTGCTAGCTGCTGTTGATGCTGCTGCTGCTTGGTAGCTGCTTCTGCTGCTGCTGCTGCTTCTGCTGCTGCTGCTGCTTGGTAGCTGCTGCTGCTGCTGCTGCTGCTTGGTTGCTGCTGCTGCTGCTTGGTAGCTGCTGCTTGGTAGCTGCTGCTGCTGCTGCTGCTGCTGCTGCTTGGTAGCTGCTGCTGCTTGGTGGCTGCTGCTGATGATGCTGCTGCTGCTGCTGCTTGGTAGCTGCTGCTGCTGCTGCTGCTGCTGCCGTTGCTGGGGTGGTTGTGTGTTGCCATGTGTTTGCTGTGTTGGGGTCGTATTGGGGGGGCGCTGTTGGCACTCTCCTTTTCCCTTGGCCATAGCATGTTGTGATTCCCGGCCAGGCTTTCCTGCCAAAGAGCCCCAGCGTTGTTTCTTTGCCTAGCTTTCGCCACCCCGCTCTGGGCCACAAGTAGAGAAAAGTGCGAGCAAGCCCACTGGAGCCTGAGAAGTATGAGAAGGTAGGCTGAGGGACCTGAGAGAATGTCTTGGTATGTAACCTTTTTCTATCTTTTTCACATCGCCTACCGCTCACCGGAGCCCCTCAACAGGAACATCACGCTCACGTTCCTGGGCCTAGTAGCGGTGTTGTTAGTAGTAGTAGTAGTAGTAGTAGTAGTAGTAGTAGTAGTAGTAGTGGTAGTAGTAGTGGTAGTAGTAGTAGTAGTAGGTAGTGTTCTCGACGTGTTTTTGGCAGTCTAACGTAATCATATGTAATTGTAATTGGTGAAGGGGGTCCTTCGTGCCATTTTATAGAGAAGCCTGGGTGGAGTGGATTGTAACACGATGCAAAACTGTTCGAGTTTGAATATAATCTGGCCCTTGAAGGTAAGCCCCTCCAATTTATAGAGGAAGACTGTGGTGAAATATGGTAGAATCATGTAGAATCCATTCTGGAATGAAGGAGAGCGCGAGAGAGCCAGATGAGCGCGAGAGAAAAAAACATGCGCCAAGCCCAGATTTTGAGTGTCGACACGTTGCAGACAGACGTCAGCCAGAGTGATTCTATACAAAGGCCATTTACGTCAGCCAAGGCCGTTCTATACACCTCCATGTTTGCTGGGGGGTCAGCTCAATACAATAAGGTGTATTTTCACCCCAAGATTTGTACGTGATGTAGTACGTACCTATGCGCATCTGAGGTCACCAAGTATTTCTTCTGGCTCTTTGAATCCAAAACGACTCTGGGTAGATTTGGGGGTCGAGGCCCTGCCTGATTGTCGGAGACAGAGGTAGCACCAGTTTTGTTGAGACGGAAGTCGTCTTCTTTTCTCTCACACTAGAAGATCGCCTCCACTTGAAATAGAGGTCTTGCTAGAATCATGGGCAGTTTCCCTTTGCTGGAAGCTCTTTTGCACAAGGCTAGATCTAGCAAATGTCCATTCACCCATGATTGGTTTGCGGGTTTGCAGTGTGCACCACGCGCAAGTTGATGAGTTTTTGACTCGGCGTGACTTAGGATGAGGTTGGAATTGGAACCCTCCATGCAGGTCCCCTAGTAGTGAGTCGAATAGAGTGGCAGCTGCCACACATTCCAAATCTTTTTATAGACATTGGGAGCAATCTTGGGGAACACATCCCAGCCCTGGCCACCGTGTTGGTGCTGTGTGCACCAGACCAGACCAGATCCTCGGCATAGCATCGGGTTTTCTCTGTGTGCTGGGGATCTGAATCCGTGGCCGCGGATTCTGGGCGTTCAGGAACCCCTCCAGCGCGCCGCTGGTGATGTGGCTCTCCGGTGGCCCGGGCTGCTCGTCGCAGTTGGCCCTCTTCGCGGAGAACGGGCCGTGCAAGGTGGCCCGGAACGGCGGCTTGGAAGAAGTGGATTCAGGGGCGAGGGTGGGTGGCGAAGTTGGGTGGATAGGCAGACTGGAGTGGGGGTTGCAAGATAGGATGGAAGGATGAGAGAGTTCGGGATGATGTCTGCAGTGGATGTATGGAGATGTTTGGAGATGTCTTGGTGTCTGGCTTGGTTGGTGGTTTGTTTGGGTGGGTGGGTGGGTGGTTGCTTGCTTGCTTGCTTGCTTGCTTGCTGGCTGGCTGGCTGGCTGGCTGGCTGGCTCGCTCGCTCGCTCGCTCGCTCGCTTGGAACGTGAAAAGGCAACCAAGGGGTTTGCAGCACTTCATCGGCATCATTGCAGAAAACCTCGATCGTTTGCCCCCAGTCGTATCGGTAAAACCGATGCTGCCCCGATCCGCATGCAAAACGGTTGTTTTCATGTCGGTGCACTCGAGCACCGCGAGGTCAGTTCACCTACAGGAATTCCGCTTCCTGGCACTATGCAGCCAATGCCGCTTGCTTGGTCGACAAACGGCCGTCGTGCGTGGATGTGGTGACCCCGGCTGAAGTGTTGTGGTCCACAGCACGACACGCGGGAGGAGTAACTGACTAACCCGTTCTTATCAGAACGAATTCCACTAAACGTCCCTGGTGACGCAGCAAGTGTCTCGAACTGGGAGACCTCGGAGACCATCACTTGATGGGTGTTGATTGATGTCCCTTTGGCCAAATGTACTTGTGGGCCTCCCCTTTGTGAGGCATACATACCCATGCAGACACGCGCATGGTTCGACCGTTTGACCATTCCGGAATTTGGGGGTCGTAGACAAACGAACAGCCACTGGGCTGGCCGTTGTCCACACCCGCAGAAAATTCAACCCTTGCGGGCCTCGCTCACTCGTTCCTGGCCTGGCGAACGAAAAATACACGCATCACCAATGCCATGATGATTGAGGGAGGAAGGTCTGGGGGGTCCATCTATTGGTCCAGGCCAGAAACCAGCAAAGAATCGCATTTGTTTGAAAGGGGAATGGATTCGATCCCAGAACCATCTATTCTGAATGTCATGGTTCTTGGCTGGTGAATGGGGACCTGCCTGCAGGTCGGTCCCATGTATGAACCCATGCAGGTCATGTGGGTGGACCAGCCTGCTGGTGTCGGCTTCTCTACGAGAATTGGCACTCATGATGAGAAGGGCGTGGCCAACAATATGTTGGTGTAGCTCGGTCTGAACGAGTGTAGCTCGGTCTGAGCACCGGTTAGCCAGTTGCTGAAGGACTTGAGCACCGAGAAAATGAATTCCCTGAACAGTTGGGGGAGAAGACTTTCGTGTGGCGAGATCTCCGTAGTTGTGCTACGTACTTTCGTTCACTGTCATCTCGCATGTGCACAATGCTCAGGTCGGCCCTGTGATTTCAAGTTAGGAAGGTAGATTGGAACATATTGGAACGACCAGGCCCACCAAACATGTATTGAGTGGTCCCTTTGTGGCGAAACATGGCTGATTCCTTGTAAAGAGCGACATCAGTGAATCAGAATAGTGCCCTTTTGCAATTCCGAGATTCTCGGATTGTCCAACTATCATCACTTTGCCCTCACTGCTTGGATACCCAGCCGAACGTGCCGAAGACATGTCCAGGAAAACTGTCCCCACACCATTTTTCCACCATTGGTATGTCGCCCGAGCGGCCCGAGCGCGCATCGTTTGACCTTGATGACCTTGGTGCGTTGAAACTCTGGTGTACAAAACACAGCCAAAACAATACATAGTTCGAGATAGGGGGTGAATCCTGCGGAATTGGAACAAACAGGGTGGGCGAGAAAAATGCCATCTCATGAAGTGGCGGGAATGGGGTCACAAAGGCATTGATGCTCCTAGAATCTCGTGTTTGTCGCTTTCAGCGATGTTTCGCAACTAGTAAGCCGTCGCAACAATTAGTATGCCGTCCCATGTCGCTTTTCGTTGTGACAGTGCAGGGGGTGGCTGTTCTGTTTGTCAGGTTCTTGCAGAAGTTCTTTGCGGCCTTCCCGCAGTACCAGAACACGAACTTCTACATCTTCGGTGAGTCCTACGCAGGCGATGCTTTTACCAGCGCCCACCCGTTTGGAGAACAGCCTCTCGTTGGCGATAGACTTTTGGCGAAGACCTCTTGGACAGAAAGATAGCACAATTTGGTAGCGACCATGTGACTCTCAATGCCCAGCCCATGTTTTTTTTTTTTTTTTTTTTTTTTCGGGGACCACTCAATCCACACAAACCACCCTAAAGTCGCCTAAACTCAATTTGTCCCGTGAACTCAAACCAGCCACCATGTGAAATTGCACTTCCCCTGCGGTCATTGGGCCGCGCAGGACACTACGTACCAGCCATCACCCACCGGATTTGGAGTGCGAACAAGGCCAGGCTGCGCATAAGCTGGCTTTCCTTTTTGTTGGTGCTTACGCAAGCCATGCAAAGCCCATAGACAAGGCCCACGACATTTTGCACTCAGGGAAAGAGCGTGTGAATTCAGCCCATTTTTGACTCACCAAAAGCCAATGTGTTTAAGCACTTGTGGGCCAGGCTGAGGAAGGACAGAAGATCCCTTTGAAAGGTCTTGCCATCGGCACCTTGAATGAATTGGGTGCTGATCACAGGTTGATTTGGACGTCCCAAATTCATGACCCGGTCTCGGTTTGTTTGAGGGTGATGGGCTTTCGAAAGCCCGCCTCTCTTGAAAGCCCGCTGGATCACGGATCGGAGAGATTGACGTCTTTGACTTCCGCCTCAAGGCGGATGAGTTCACCTGAAGTGGACTTGCTTCAAGATGGTATTTACTAGGAGCAAGGACACTAAACTCACCGCTCCATTCCGTGAGTTTCTCCACGGAGGCCGAAGTCTCCATGATGCCAGGTCCCGGCTGCGAGGTCACCGTCGGATCATGACATCACCAAGTTCAGCCTTGGACAACCCTTTTTGGAGCTTTGCGTAGATCGGTGACAACCGGCACCGGGCCGCCGGAAGCTTCACCCACGGCCGGCCACCGTTCCGCCGTTCCGCCGGTCGGACCGACCGACGGCCCCAGGGAATGGGTTGACCGACCCCTTGGAGCAGTACAAGTGCCCCGGTCCGGTCCAGAATCTGAAGGGATCGGCCTTGTGAGGATCTGGGGGAAGTCTGCTTGTGCTCTGTGCCTTTTGGGTGAAAGTTTTGATCTTGTATGGCATCTAATCCCTGGTGAGCCATCCAGCTTCATTCATTCTGATTTTTGGGGTTTGTCGACCATCAACAGGCAGCAACAGAATATCAGTTGGGTAAAGGCCTTCAGCTACTGTAAACATCATCCTTCCGAAGGTCATCTCCGCCATTTCATCCCGATCTGTCCATGTTGAAACATTGACGCGCACACATAGAGTATCGTTGCACGGTACATGTGCACCAGGGTTTCGCAAGGAGACGAAACACAGATGGCTCCTATGAAGAGCCAAACGTGTGAATTAACAGGTAGCATGCAAAGGGATTCAACTTCCCAAATGATCAGACCGTTGGTTCTGATCCCGCGACACTTTACTCTGAGCTCGGCCCCGCGCTGTTCACGCGGAACGTAACGTTCACGTGCCGATGGTCTGAGGTGGTATCCGGAGATGGGCCACTTCGGTGGGCAGCAAGAGGGTGGCCATGCGCCGCAGAACGTGATCAGCAAGGGGGACTACTACATCATGACGCTTCGTCGAGGGGGTGGAGGTTGTCCGGAGTGTGACCCGGAAGCGAGGGAAGGATTTCTGGAAGCGGTCGAATTGCTTGCTTTAGCTTCCGACATCTTCCGACCACGGACAGCTCGGAAGCTAAGCACCAGACCCGGACAGTGAAGGGTTTGGGCGCTGAAACAAGACCCGAGGCCGCAGAAGCCCAACAGTTAAACTCTTTGGGGAAAACATGGGAAACATATGAATCACTGGTTGCGACCTGTGAAGGGCTGAACCTTCAACCGCCGTCCTCTCGGGACGGCGGTGGGAGAGTCGAAAACTCGGAGTCGAAAGCAGGAGAGCCAAGAGTCGAATGCTTAAGAATAAGCCATCAGCAGCCCAAAGCCTGCTGTAAGTAGCCAGAGCTGAATAGCAGGGCGGAATTGTAGATCTTGAGTAGCCAAAGACATCTTACTTCCAGGTAGGAACCCTGAGTACCTATTGGGTAGCTCCAAGACCGAATGCCCAAGGTGGCTCATCAGCAGTTGGAGCCGTCGCGCGTCCGCCTCGAGCCGTCCCAGGAAGGGCCTGGTGCCAGCCTGCGAGCTGGGCATCGTGGCCTGCAACCGAGGCCCGGCAGCGGTTCGGGGTGATGCAGCCACCGTGTGTTGCGGAGCCTTCAAGGATAGAGACGGTGGTCGTGGCCGTCTTGGAAGAAGTCTAAGAGCGACTCTCAACAAACGAGGGCTTGAAAAAGCCCAGACGCATGGTTCTCCTACAAATCCTCTTCACTCCCAGTCAGATGGTTCTGCTGCAGATTCTCCAATGCCACTAGCAACCTACCCTCCCCTTCTGTTTGGAGCGGGGGCACCGAAGCCAGGCGTCGACCCGGACCCCACCAGCGGGGGCGTGGTGAACGCCTCGGCGTGCTTTGCGGCCTACGACGCGTGCAACTTCATGGCGATCATGCCCTACGAACTCACCGGCACGATCGGGGAGCGCGCTCGGGGGCGGGGGAGGGGGCAATGGCGGGGTCAGATTGCGGGGAGAAGTGTGAGGGTCGAATCGAACAGGTGAAATCACTCAGTGCCTCAGTGCCGGATTGACATGGACACACCACTAAGAACTTCTGTGCAAGATGGTCAGGCAAGAATCCCTACGACATGCGCAAGATGTGCACCCATGGCCGTTTGTGCTATGACTTTGACATGATTGGCACATACCTCAACAAGCCCGAGGTGCAAACGCAGTGGCGGCCTTAGGTAAGCAAGGGCCAAGCCCAGATGGAAATTGGATAGGTGAGGCAGTGGTCCATATCTCGTGTCATCCAGAATCTCACCTAGGCTAGGTGTGCAAAAGAAATGGGGATCTTGCAACTATGCCGTGGATCTCTCCTTCGTGGCTGCTGGTGATTGGCTCCTCCGCTATCAGAATCTCTTGCCAGTCACTTGGCGCATTTGGCGGCATACAGCGAGGTAAGCGTGAGAAATACACATAAAAAATTAACAAAACAAACAATACATATCAAATATCCAAACTAAACTCTGCAGTTCTTGGCGTTCTTTGCCTGCTTCATCACAGTGGCTTGGCTTTTGCTTCGTCGTTCGCCAGCGGTGTGGGCCTACCAACCCGGGTGTTCCGGATCCTCCGGGGTTCTTCCGGGTCCCCGGACGCCGACGACCGGGCGCTTTTTTGGTACCGGTTCCTTTTTGGCCAGACCCAAATAGTGGATGATCTGATGATATGATGATTCCCATGATCTGGTGGTAGGAGGTCCATGAACGTAGATCATCTCCTGGTTCGTGGGTTCTGTGGGGTGTTGGGTGCCCTCCCCCAATCGATCCATTCTGAAGATGCAAGTTCTCAAGGATCTTCTGGCAGATGGCATTGATGTGCTGATCTATGCAGGCCAGATGAAGACAGAATGGCTCAGATCCTGGTCATTTAGAGTGCCAGAGAAGTATATGAAACTGCCATTGGGCCATTTGCTGTAGATCAGGCAAGACCCCTGGGGCGCGACAGAACTATTTAAGCAGCGGCCATGGCAATCCTGTAGGACAGCAACGCCGTTATGGGCCAATTCTTTACTTTCGACAGTGGTAAGTGGTAAGACTTTAAGTGCATTCCATTTTCTCAGGACATTGCAAGCTCTCCACTACTTCCACCAATACATACCAATACCGAAACCTTAAGCTGCCGTTTTTTTGGTAGGAAAACAGGCACTGAGTCATGAGTCGGGGTTTCATGGGGGTTCAGAGGTGTTGCAGTCGTTGCAAGAGTCTTCAAGATTGGCAGGCGATGTGGACTACATCTGCAATTGGCTTGGAAACAAGGCGTCGGCCCGAAACGCAAGGAAGTGCGTCTCAAGCAAGCTGTTATCGTGCATATCTCTTTTGGTAAGGTTGCCAAAGCTAGCCAGCAGCTGCCAGGACCTATACTTTGCGTTCTAGAACAGCTGAAAAAAGGGCGAAAGAAGATCTTGAAGCCGTGCTCAAAAGGCACAAGTCCGATGCTTTGCCAGGGCAAGTCTGAATGGGGTCCCATCCCTTAAAACAGGTCCCATCTCTTCACTCCTCCCCCGCCCCCGTGGCCGTTCTGTCACCCCGCAAGGCCTGGACGACGAAGCTGGACTGGGCGCATGCGGCGGAGTTCCGCCAGGCGCCAGACGAGGACTGGAAGCTGGATGGTCGCACGGTGCGGGCGGCCCAGACGCGGAGGCCGTGGCGTGGAGCCGGAAGCGGAGGTGTGGGGAGGTGGCAAGGGCGCGGACCGCGCCAAGGCCAAGAGTCGAGATCGGTGGGAGGTGGGGGACTCCGGACTTGTGTGCTCTCTCAGGCGAGGTGGTCTTGGGGCTGGTGGCAAAGATGCAAGGGTTCAAGATGGTTCAAGGGTTAAGCACGATGCCAATGGCCTTGGAATTGTAAGGCTGGGTGGGTGGGTACCACTAGGTGTCAGGCTGAGACGGTTCGAAAACCCGCGTGTTCTTCTTCCCAGGTGGCCAAGCTCCGCTCGTCCAATGGCTTGAACTTCATGCAAGTCTTCGAGGCGCCTTTCGAGCCTTCGGCGAAGAACGTCACGAAAGGACCCGCCGAGTGGGTTGGGGGGAACACCTCGGAGTTCAGAGCATCAGAAGGCCCCAACACACGGGTTTCGGATGGATTTCAGAAGGTACCCTTGTGGCAATGGATGAAGGGTTGTAGAGTCTTCCACAAAAAAAGACACCTTCGGAGCTCCCGAGCTCCCCGCTGCATCGCTTTTTTGGTGTCCCTCCAGTCCTGAGCCTTCCGATGAGCTGTGGCGGCACCGGCGTGGCAGGCGGGCCACATGGTGCCCATGGATCAGCCCAAGGTGGCCTTGCAGATGGTCAGTGACTTTGTCGCTCGGATTTCATTGCCATGCCCAGTGTCAGCATGCCGCACCACACTTGGGAAGACTTGGGGATGATCCTTTTCTGAGAATGGAAGACGAGGCAGTGGTCTAGCAAACATGAACGGCCCTGACAGAAGTGGTCGGGATGAACCTTCGGAATCTATGCTGGTGTTGGATCGTTTGGGAAGGGAATTCCACAGCCAGGCCTCAGAAGGATTCCTGTGTTCGGTGCGTGATCATCCGGATTGGAGTAGACACAAGACGTGGTTGACAGGATCATCTAACAAGATCTAACAAGTTACCAATCCTATGGACAACGTTGATCATCCCATCCAGCCTGTTTCCTGGGGGTACGACAAGGGTATGATGAGTTTTGATTTTTGCACTCTTGTAAAAAGAGTACTGTATATAAATAAATAACTATATAATATATATATATATATACAATGGTAGAATTGAGCAAACCACGAAGGCTTTCGATTAACATGTTACATACGATATGCTATGTTTGTCCAAACTCTTGCAAATGAATCCGACACCTCTAGGAAAGCATGTTGGCCAACTTATGTGAACACCTAGAAAAAACAACGCCAACAACTGCACATCTAAGACATACAATCCAAACCTCCAGACAAATGTTTGCCACGACTGGCTCTTTTGTTTTGCAAAGAATGGATGAACATGTTGTGTTCCAGTGTTTGGGAGGATTTGTGGTGGTTTTCCAGAGAAAGAATTCACGGACATTCGCACCGAAAAGAATCTTGCAGAGTTGGATGTTCATTCCACCGCCTCAGAAACGCCTTCTTGAGAAGTTGGAGGTCCCAGGGGTCCAAGGGGTCCCTCAACACAAACGTAACGTCTCTCATCCCCCCCCAAAGCGCCCGAGTCACAGCTGGGACGGTCCAAAACGAGTCACGGTTTTTCTTTCCTTTTCTCTCCAGCCAACGTGTCACACGAGCCGAGGTGTACGGCAAACTGGGCAAGAAGTCCATGAGTGAGTCAAGTGAAGCGCTGGTGGTTTAGATGACTGTTCCATCGCTGATGGAGAGAAAGATAGAGAAAGATCATGTAGCCAGCGGCAGTGGACGAGTCATACAATTTCGAGCAAGTAGAAGGGTGTGGCAAGCTTGCCCCTGCCACATCCAAGCGAAAGGCCAGCACCAAGTTGGCAAAAGCCCTGATTGGTGCGACTCAGTTGCTTGCAGTTGCCTTGATTGGAGGCACCAAAAATCCAGCGCGCTTCCTTGACAGGGAGGGCCGGGCCAGACCTAGCGACCTAGCGCCTAGCGCTTTTCCTTTGCAGGGGGTTAGGCAGTCGTCTTCGGGTCTTTGGGTCTCCAGGCGACTCTGATCCGACGAAGACCTGGTTCGTGATGTTCCTGGCTCGATCGGTTAGCCTCTCCGCAGCTTGGCGGGCTCTTCTAGCAAAGCCTAGCCAGACGAAAGCTTCTGGCGATGGGAGAGGCCCGAGACGACGTGAGTGAGAGGAGCACATGTGGGTTGGCCAATTATTCTTTTTCTTTTCGGGTCCTTGGGAAGAGTTCAGCCCTTGTGAGATATCCGGTGACCTGGTGTGAGCGAATCTGTCAAGAGCTTCATACTTCTTCAACAACAACAACAACAACTGCTACTACTACTACTACTACTTCTACTTCTACTTCTACTACTACTACTTCTACTACTACTACTACTTCTACTTCTACTACTTCTACTACTACTACTACTACTACTACTACTACTTCCACTTCTACTTCTACTTCTACTACTACTTCTACTTCTACTACTTCTACTTCTACTTCTACTTCTACTTCTACCACCACCACCACTACTACTCCTACTCCCACTCCCACTCCTACTCCTACTCCTACTCCTACTCTTGCTCTGCCTGGCATCCCTGAAAGAGTCCTCATGCAGGATTACCTTCCAGCAGCTGGATTTGGGGCAACTGCATGAAGTCAGGGTAGACATCCGAGCCAACAAACCATCCGACGGTGTTCTGGTGTGGTGGAATCACAGGGAGGGCACATGCAAAGCACACAAACCATGACCACAACTGCTGGCTTTCTTTCCTTCTCTTGGCTGGGGGTGCTTTTTGCAGAGTCAGCCCCCACATGCAGAGCTGTGCCAGAGGTGCTGATAAGGTGTATGGGGCCTCTCAACCGTGACCTGAAAACCAAATCACGCCGATTCGTGCCCAGTCATTTCTAAGAGTCCCCTGAAGCAACTCTTTGTTCCACCGCCTTTTCACCCACCGATGAAGCCCCCGAAAACACTTCCGCTCTTCCGCCCCCCCCAAACGCGCTCCGCTGAGCGCTCCGCACCACAAGCAGCGCGGCTTGCAGCGACGGAAAAGGCCAAGCAGTTGATCACCAAGGAGAACTTCACCCAGTGGACGAAGGAGAAGGGCCGTGGTGGACAGAGGGAGCGCTACGAAACCACTCGAGGTGAATGGTATCTCACATTTCATGCTTGTTGACACCCCTTAAAAGGGGCGCACAAAAAAAACGATGACTCACGATGCGTCACCGGTTGCGTGTGGTGTTTGGTTTTCACGTCTTCGTTGTCGTCCCAGGGTAGGTATCCAAGACCTTCGATCGGACGGTCCAGACATTCTTTCCATAATGCGTTCGGAAGGACTTGGAAGGCACGTTCAGTGCCTTCCTTTCGTTTTGGGAACTTCGCTAACGTATGCTAAACCATGCTAAACCGAAGCTTTGGAAGGTACTGATAATTCCCAAGTTGCATGTTGTTTACTTGTACCTCCGCCTCGTCGAATCTCTGCCCTTCGATGGAGATTAAGTATGTCAAAAAACACCCCCCAAACAAGGCTGAGAAACATCTTAAAGATCTTAAAGTAGTATCTTAAAGCATCTTAAAGCTAATTGAAATGACAAAGCTCAAATCAGAACACCATTTTGACCGCACCTGGTGGCGGACCCGGACGCCGAAACGTCGTCGAGCGCGATAAGTGTGTGACCACGGCAGTGTGTGGGTGCGGCGTGGAGGACTGCGGTGTGAAGTGTATCCAGAAGGAATACGATGACATTGCGGTCTCGGCTGTGAAGTAGGGGGAGCCCAGATGGGGAGATGAACGGCTTGGTGGGCGACACCAGTGAAGGCAGTGAAGTGCCCAGAATGAACCAGGAGTTTTCGTGATGTGGGACCCAAACCTGTTTGGGATTGGATGGATTGGGTCTCCCTCTCCTTGTGACACACATGCATTGCTGCGCTCCTAGGCCCATGTGGTTGGGCACAGACATGCTCCTTTCCCATTTAGGCAACTACAACCTGTAACGAGGCAAATTTGGGCAACATGGTCTGGGTCTGGGTCTAAAGCATGCATTTGAGTGCATTGGGCAGACCGAATAACGATGAGAACACACACTACTGTAAAGTCTGTACTGTATTGTTTTGGGATGAGAATTGCCTGGGAGGTTAGCGGGTTGTAGTGAGCGTGCAACCTTCCTCACCCGAAGAATTGGCATTGGATGCGGCCACACAGAGGCCACACCCGGGGGGGAACCGCCTTAGCTGTGGCAGAAGCAAGGGAAGGGACCAGAATTGTTCGGAATCCATTTAGAGGACTCTTGGTGTTCCATTTTTAGGGTGGTGGTTCTTTGGTGGAGGCATTGGACCCAAACATATCCCAAATAACTGCTGGGTGCAGAAGATCAAAACCATAGAAATTGGGAGGTTACTCGTTTCGGTTCAAGCATCCATGGGGTTGGCGTTCAAGAGTCGAACCATCTCAGGCGTGCAGTTCAAAGGTCTTGACTTCTTTGGAGCATCAAAACCAGACACGACGGACTGGCAGACCAACCGTTCGACGGCAAAAAAACCGAGCCCTGCACCACTTCGAGCGCCGAACTCCGAGCGCCGGCGAAAGCCGGCCTCGTTTGACCGCCCCGAACATCTGCCGGGGAGGCCGAACACGGATGCTCCGCGCCAGGGGGGGTGGTTGGAAGCGCGGTGGGTACCTGAGCGCCATGACCAGCCGAGGGGGGGGCGGTTGTACGAGGGAGCCCGAGCGAATCCGAGGGAGCTGGGGGAAGTTCTGAATTCCGAGGAATGGGAAGACCGTGCAGGAAGAGATGCAAAGTCGAGGTTTCAAGGAGCGGAGGTCGCTGTCGTTTTCAGGGTCGGATGGCGGTCGGATTGGGGCATTGGAAGGAATTGGAGGATCTTGAGGTTGAATGATTTAGAGGGGCCTTGGAGGACCTCGAGAACGGTGTACTGGGTCCCAGAACCAAGAGCAAACCTTAAATTCTAATGGGTATCTAGGAAGTCAATGGAATTCTACTTCACATCCTTCTGGGTTTATGCTTAGGGATAGAGCCTGAAAGTGAAACCCTGGAAGATTTTGGCGAATCCTTTGTATCCCAGTTAAGCCCAGCTGGACGTGTATTAGAAAGGAACCCCCAATTTTTTCGGGTTTCAGTTCATGTTCAGTTTGCACAGGGGTCTCCCTTTCAAGAACAATCCACTTTCCTTTCCTGCGAGGACTTCCATCAGTTCAGCAAGCAGTGCCCGAAGTTCAAGAAGTCCGGCCAGCTCAATGGGTTGGGTAGGGATAGCATAACTGGCGCTGTGCACGGCAGCACGGGGGGGGAGTCACTTGAGTGCTCGTTCTGGGGCCAGGTCATCGAGTCTCGAGTTCCTGTTCCGCACTCCCTCACTCCATCCTTTTTCCATCCCTGGATGCTTCCAAGATGGAACTCTCCCTTCGTTTGTGGAGACATTGCAGACATCTCAGACTTGAACCAGTATGCAACGTGGTAAACAGAAAGGGCGCCCTTTGTGGGGGCCCCCATCACTGCCCTGAATCCCAATCGTGCGCCCCGCTGGGGCGCACTTGGACACCGGCACGTGGACATGTTCATGTTCAGCGCAAACTTCCCGAGCGCCTCCGT